CCAAAGAATTCCCGAACTTCCCAAAGGATAAATGGACTACCCAATGAATTCTCGGACTTCCCAAAGAATACCCGGACTACCCAATAAATTCTCGGACTTCCGAATGAATTCCTGGAATTCCCAAAGAATACCCAGACTTCCCGAGGAACTCCCGTCTCAGGTCCACAGGACTTTCCACGTGATTTACCCCTCGGTTTTATGTGATATAAAAACAATTTCGTACATGTTCATACCTTTTCATGCTTGGTTTGGAAATTATGAGAATTTTTTGAAATTTTGATAAGGGGCGTGGGAAATGCAATTTTCGGCAGTTTGAGCAGGAAATATGGAAATTTCAATATTTTTACTCAATAACTAAATACGTCTGTTTAGTTTTGATAGCATTCACCAATTTTGAGATAAATCAATTTTTTCTGCGACCGACACAAAAGTCGTCCATTTTGATACCAAAATTAGCTATTGAATTAACGTTCCTATTTGTTACTATACAGCATCATACTCTATTACAAATATAAAAATTTATTGGGTTCGATCACAAAGCGATAACGTTGTTGGAAAATTACTTGAAAAACAGATGTCAAAGAGTGGTATACAATAATAAAATTTTTGAGTCACTATACAATACCAGTGGCGTTCCGCAGGGTTCGATATTAGGACCAATACTGTTCATCATATTCACGTCTTCATTTCCATGTTACATTCAGAATTCCCATGTTCAGATGGATGCTGATGATACTCAATTAATGCTCACCTTTGATCCAAAAGATCTTCAGCAAAGTTGTAAACTCATTAATTAATTTGAAACTCTTGTATAATTCGAGACATATTCTCAATTTAGAAATTAAAATTATGCTTTGTGATTCATTGATATTATCATCAATTTTCAATTATTGTGAAACTGTATACGGCCACTGCATCCTCTACAAGACAAAGGTTCCAAAAAATTCAAAACTACTTCCTGAGATTTATATATGGCATCAGGAGAAGGCGCCCTATTACACATAAATTGAAACAAGCAAACTGGCTCAATATGATAAATATTCGAACACTACACTGTGGTATTCTATACCATAAATAGATAAATAGCTGTATGCCGAAAAACCTGTATAAGAAAATTAGATTCCGTACCGATGTTCATAATTTGACTATAAGATCCAAAGGAAATATCACACCTCCCTTCCACAAAACTGCTAGTTTAACCAGATCCCCTTCTCATACAATATAGTGAAGTTATTTAATTCTATTCCTCTAACATTAAGAAGAAGTCTCTCTAGCTCCAATTTCCGAAAGAAATACAAACATTTAATCCTCACCCTCTACCCAGAAATGTAAAAAGAGAGAAAGTATTTTGTAGTATTAGATTTCTTTCCTCTTATATACATAATATAATAGTAAATTCCGCGATCTGCCTAACTTGGGTTAAGTGGAAGAACAGCAATGCAACCTCTGTTTGCATTACTGAACTTCGCCCTTTCAGTTGTACACCTTCGATATGAAGCAAAATTGTATATTATTTGTATTAGCGATTGAATAAAGTATATTATTATTATTATTATTATTATTACTGACATAAACAAAGGTATGTTGCGGCAACACATTTAGTTCCTAGGAGCTAAAGTTGAACTTCAGCTCCTAGGAACTAAAGAAGATGTACTAGAGAGGTAAGCAAGAATAAGCAATATTGTTACGGTTGTTTATTTGTGTTGGAACTCATGGGTACCTGATTATTTCTTTCCGATTTCGGCAGATTTGGCGTTTCATACCCATGCTGGAGATATAAATACACCTATTTTTGTATTGTTTTTGAATAATCACGGCTAGCATTAGTTTTTTGTCTCAAACAACGATATTGTTTATCTTCATTTGATTATGGAGCCAAACACAGTGGAGTATGGAGATAAATAAATTATCGCTATTATTATTGTTGATATGCTCACTAACCTAACATTTTCCACGTCTTCTTCCTATACTTGGCACTGGCACGGTGTTTGCTATTAGAGCACCTCTGGTCCTTACACAAATATATCACTCTGTGGTTGTATTTATATTGAAACTACAATTCGTAAATCCTCGAAAATTGAATAAACCTAATCTGTTAATGCAGGTAGAATATTTTCACCACACGGATTATTTGTTGCATTGCATACATATGGCACGGCAGTGGAGGTTACTTCACATATTTATTTAATTCTTTCGATTGGAGAAACAATAGCAAGCTCGGCTTCGCTGAAAGCTCCGCCTCGCAAATGCAAAATTCGCTTGTCAAACAAAGTGTCACTTTTGATCCTGATAAAACAATCTACTATAAAATTTATGCTGCGTAATGAAAATTGTGCTTTTTTATTGTTTTTATTTATTCTGCAGAAACAAACAGGCAGAGCCTAATAACATGTTTCTAGAAAGTTCTAAATATAAGAGGCAATTAAATTGAATATGACAATAATAATAATACTCACAACAACAATAATAATAATGACAATGAATACCTAACTGAAGAAGATGAAATTCACACCAGACATCATGAATTCTCACCAAACATTTATAACATTCATCAAATTGGCTTTGAATTTAGGAATTGAAGTATCAAAAACACCATACGTAATGGTTGCTGAATACGTATTATATAATCTGCATAATCAATTGACTGGGGTATCGTATTTATTTATGTAGAAAGATATTTGTCGTGGTCGAACTCTTGGTGGCGGTACGTATAGGGAAATTTCACTAATTAAAGTACCGAATTTTCCCAAAAATTTTGTTTGATCGAAAATACCCCTTTTTCAACACCTACTTTTGATGTTTTGTGGTTGCAATCAAAAGAATAAATTGAAAAAAAAATTAGGTGCCCTACTGAGATAAAGTACTATTTTTATTACACAAACGTCTTCTAATAGTTATTTATGCAACAAGTGCAAAAAGTGAATGTCCAACTCGGCCTAACGGCCTCGTCGGACAATTTCACGTCGAGTGCAATAAACAATTTTTGCACGAGTTGCATACAACATTTTTTCTACGTTCATGCAAAAAGCAAAAAATGATTTATTGAGGTGCGGCACTAGGTACAATTCTGTTAATTGTCAGAATTAATTTTTGACTGACGTTTCTATAACCACAGTTGCATTATAGAAAATGTTTGTCATGCTGACAGCACGTTGAAGTAGAATGACAGATGAGTGCAATAAAAACTTTATTGCACTAAGTGCAATAAAGAACTTCTTTTTCCACTAAATATAGTTCAATAAAGTTCTTTTTTTTGCATGAATGTAGAAAAAATCTATTTATCTTGAAAATAGTGAGTGATATCTAAACTAAAGAAGATAGCCATTCTCATGTAAAAATAAAGATATGTTTTCTACATTCATGCAAAATGCAGAACTTTATTGAACTATATTTAGTGGAAAAAGAAGTTCTTTATTGCACTTAGTGCAATAAAGTTTTTATTGCACTCATCTGTCATTATACTTCAACGTGCTGTCATCATGACAAACATTCTTTATATTGCAACTGTGGTTATAGAAACGTCAGTCAAAAATTAATTCTGACAATTAACAGAATTGTACCTATTGCCGCACTCCAATAAATCATTTTTTGCTTTTTGCATGAACGTAGAAAAAATTTTGTAAGCAACTAGTGCAATAAACATTCACTTTTTGCACTTGTTGCATAAATAACTATTTTTTATTGCTTGTTCAAACTTCCACAAAATTGCATAAACAAAGAAGTTGGATAAAAAGTGCTATAAGCCCCCACCTATTTCCCATAGATCAAAATATACACTTCCCAAGCTCCTGATCAAAATTTTCGAAAATTCTCAACATTTTCAAATTTGGCAAAAAAAGTTAGGTATACATGTATAAAATTCACAGAGGGTTGCGGAAATATTTACAAAAACCATCATCTCGGGCTCTCTTTCTGAACTTTTTTCACTATTTTTGTTCCTAGAATCCGTGGTTGAAATCCTTTAGTGAAAATCCGGGACACTGTATAAGAGAAGAAAGAATGATAATTTTTCATACCCGTCTCTAATCGAATATAATGATATATATAATGATTACCTAACTTAACAAATTGCAGAAATATAATGAGATTCAAATATTCAGGGTGTTTCGTAATATGTGGGAATTGTGGGATGCACTTCGAGATAGATAGATTTATTGGTCCACTTTTAAAGAAATTATACAAGATATGGCCGATATGGGTCAAGTCATGAAACAATTCATACAGGAACTGCAAATAAAAATATATAAAATGGTATGAGACAAAACGAACATAATAGACATACATTGACATTGAACAAGCCTCATCTGAAATAATCAATGAACTTTTCAATACTAATCTCACAGATATTGATATAGTCTATATAGGATTTGAAAAGAATGTTTATTATTATTGTTAACTACTTCCTTATACCAGGACTTGTTTTTGACTGACTTTGTTTTTAATAAATATAAATGAGAAATATCTACATGTCTCTAATTTGAAGAATGAAAATTGAGCTGAATACACAAGTAACACCTTGTACATAGACAAGCAAAAACGCCTACGAAATTAAAATATAAAAAGAGGAACAAAATGAATGATCAGCTCGATTTATATGATATAAGATGTACGTTTAGGTATAAACAATGTCATCTTGTGTAATGCTGAAATAATTGTTCAATTACATAAAAATGAAGTACCTATGTCTGAGTAGTTGTATTTTTTCATTATGAATTCAAGTCAAATAACTCGTCTAGACACCCTGTGTATTTGTAAATAAAGGGATTATTCGAATTATATGATTGAACTCATAATCGTATCATACAAGTTCAATTTGCAACAAGAACAAAACTTCATTAGAAGTGAGGTTATGTAATTTTTTCTTCTCATGGTTCAAGATACGACATCGACAAGGTGAAATGTTAACCTCTAACTCACTCAAAACAATATTCTCAAAGACATCCAGACATTCTGAATAATTTTGAGGGCATTATGTGAGAGAGACACTTTTCATGTTGCAGATCCCTGCTTGTATATCCTGCGGTTCGCTTCCAAGCTGGAATTCGGCGCCAAAACGCAACAGGTGGCCAATACGGCGCTGAGGCTGGTCCAGAGGATGAAGAGGGACTCGATCCACTCCGGTAGGCGGCCGTCCGGACTATGCGGAGCAGGTCAGTTTCGAAATCCGGTCGAATACCAAATGACACTTTCACAGGAAAATCCAACAAAATTTGAAAAATTTCACAATCGTCCACAAAACTTCCACAAAATTCCAATAAAACCTTCATGAAGCATACATAAAACCTTTTTGAAAATCTCATAAACCATTCATAAAACATATTTTTCTGTAGATACATTTAATTCTCAAAACATTCGTAAATCTATATCTAAATATGTATATAAAAATGAATCCCTATTTCCCTTGGGCACGCCATCACGCTTTCAAAATTGGTATGTGAAGGTTTTCGGCGTCGGAGATTGCGATTCCTTCGTCAAAATTAGGAAATTCAAGATGGCGGATCCAGTATGGCGGGCGTGTCTTGTAATTATGATCCGATTTTATTCAGGATTGGTAGGTATCTGGGGATTTTCGGGGTTAGAAGTTATGATTCTTTCGTAAAAATTGAATAATTCATGATGGCGGATCCTATATGGTGAACGAGTTTTGTATTCATGTTCCGATTCTATTCAAAATTGGTATCTAAAGATTTTCGGGGTCGGAGATTATGATTATTTAGTCAAAATTGGAAGATTTTAGATGTCGGATGCAATATGGCAGACGAATTTTGTGTAATTATGTTCCAATTCTATATTCAAAATTGGTATCTGGGGTTTTTTTGGGGTCGAAAATTATAATTCTTTTCTAAAAATGTGAAAATTCAAGGCGGATCCAATATGGCAGACGAGTTTCGTAAATCATCCTATTCTATTAAAAATTGGTATCTGTGGGTTTTTGGGGTCGGAAAATTCAAGATGGCGGATACAATACATGTCGAACGAGCTTTGTAATAAATAGTGTTTAGAAAAACTAAACAAACATGCTTTTATAGATAGCCAAACTGAAATGAAGTAGAAAATAAATAGTATGTCAGAATATTAAAGAGATAGATTACCGAAGTTTTCATGAAACATCTGTCGTAACTATCATTACACCGTCATGAATTTTAGTGCATTGAAATTTTCTCAGAACTTTCGAAACTTTTATAACATTTTCATGGATACTTCCCCTTCCTTAAGATTGCATAAACCTTTCTCAAAGCTACAATAGGAACTTTCACAAAACTCATTTTTTTTTTTTATTTTTTTTTTTATCGCTTGGAGCGCACGAAAGGGAATCCCTATACTGTTCAAAGAACATCGAAATATAAAAATAATGATAATAATGACAGATACGATTGTGATAAGATCTTCAGAACATGACTAGCTACTCGTATCAGTATCTAAACTCATGAAGTCACTAGCGGTGAGATGTGAACAGATCGAAACGGATACGAGAATATTTCAAACTAATATATTTTGATAATAATATTTCAACTAATACTTTGATATTCTGAGAGAAATAATTCATTACATAAATCCATTCGGATAATCTCGAATCATTCTAGGAAAGTATACAGCTCGGTATACAGTATGGCTGAAAAAGTTGGTAACAAATGGAAAACTTTTTTATTATTAGTTTTAGGAAAACATTCATTCTCTATTGTTGTCATTACCATATTTAATATATATATATATGTTCTCTTCTCATTGTACTTATTTCTATATCTATTTTACTGAACATGTTCATTCTGCCATGTGACCTGTCATAAATGTATTTGTATATACATAACATGATCAAATAAATGAATCTGAATCTATGCTTCAATGAGAATGCTAGCAATCTACTCATAAAAGTTGTACTGGAAGTTTCATAGAACTCTCATAGAATTTGCATCAAAACTTTCATAAAAATGTTATAGAAATTGACTAAAATGTCATGTATACAGGGTGTCCTGAAATTACATAGACCACAGATTCTAGGAACAGAAATAGTACCTAAGAAAAGTTTATAATGAACATGAGCCCAGAAATACCCCCTTTAGAGGGCCCGAGATGATGTTTTTTTGCAAATATTACCGAAACCCTCTTTGTTGAGATAACGACATTTTGTACATGTATATTACTTCTCGGGCCCGATTTGTAAATTTCAGTAATTTTTCGAAATTTTGATCAGAGGCGTGGGAAGTAGGAGGTATTTCTTTCCCCAACCTTTTTTCTATGCAATTTTTGGCAGTCTGACCAGAAAATATGAAAATATCATCATTTTTATATAAAAATGATACTCTTGTTTAGTTTAGATAGCATAGCATTCACCATTTTCGAGATGAATCGATTTTAAAATAAGTCTGCTAAGTAACAAATGAGAGGAACAATAAAAAGAATAATTTGAAAAATATTATGGTAGGTACCCCATTGAGAAAAACTACTATTTTTATTATTATACAAGAGTATTGATTATTATTATCATTTCCATATCTGGCATGGAATGTGATATACATGTACAAAATTTCGTTATCTCAACACAGAGGGTTTCGGAAATATTTAAAAAACCATCATCTCGGGTCCCTTTTCAGTTTTACTATTCTTGTTCCTAGAATCTGCGGTTGAAATCTTTATATATGTAATTTCGGGATACCCTGTATATTTGAAAAAACTGCAATATCAACTTTCATGAAATGTTCATCAAACTCTTCATTGAAGTCCCCGAAATCCTTGTATTAAAAGTTATTTATGAAATTTTCTACTTTCATTGAGACTAAAAACTTAGAATTGATTGCATTTATAGTTCCATGAAACATATTCCATCAACCTGTCATGAAACTTCCACAACACTTACATCGGAACTTTGATGAAACTACCTTAATTCCTTAATTGGATTTTACATATCGAATTTTCTGAATCTTTTCCAGCACTTCTGATTGCTGCCAGACTCCATGAATTTGGCAGATCTTCCAAAGATATCGTGAAAATTGTGAAAGTTCACGAATCTACTCTGAGAAAAAGGTGAGACCTTTCCTGCAGTTTTTTTAAACAGGCTCTTGAATCATTATTGATATCAAGTAATTTGTTATTTCAATCATTGAGTTTCATCAATTATATTCATCCTCACTGCTCATGGGCTGAATTCAGCGTGCATTATTCTGATTGGTACTTAATTGCGATAATTGGGGCGGTGTTGCCACGTCATTAATTTTTCTCAAGATTCCAGAAACCTACACAGTGAACAATGAATAACACTAGTTCACACCAGCTAACACTCTTTGATGTCCCCTGAGGTCCTGATTATCATTGTGAGAATCAACACTGATATTTTCAACACCATTATAGGGTGTCATTCGTTCCTACATACAGTCGAGAACTACACTAGAGTACCAAGTGCTAATTTGATCGGTTCGTGTTATTCAACACCTAAGTGGTATACTATTCAATCTATTCAATCATTTGGTGATTATTTTGACACTGTATCTGTTGCGTTCACTGAGTATGATATACGAATACTTTTCGGATATTTTTCTGTTGTGAAAACACACTCATTGAGTGTCATCACGCTGAGAAGCGGTGCTTTCTTGTCTGCATCTGAGTGTTGAGTAACACGAATCTGAAATACTAACATTGAGAGTTGAAACTTTACAAAACATCTTTGAGCTGATACTATTTGAAGGCTGTCGAGAGACGAGCGTCGAAGTAGTGCTAGTTTATACGTTGATATTCACTTTCATGTTTCAATTTGGTTTGATATAAGTACTCTATATAGCTTCGAAATTTCAAAATCATCATATTATTATATATTTGATGAATCAACTTGGAATTTATTTAATGCATTATTTTCACGAAATCATCCGTTCTTATTGTCACCTATCAATCTGGATACCAGAATTCGTGGATGATGATATACCTACACAATTTTATCCATTCTTCAATGAGTTTAGGTTTTTCAGGGGGGTGATTTCATCATCAACAACATTATTTATTCACATGGGAAAATGCAAGACGATGATTGAATTATACTAGCCCCAAATCTCATGATTCATACACGATTTGATTCATTCGTGATTGGTCAGGGTGTAACTATAGGGGTTAATTTCATATAATAAGTGTATTTTTTGCGTTAACTTGAATAATACCACTATCGAAAGTAATAACTTTTCATCCATTTGGTGTTTCTGTTGAATGGATATTTCAGAACCCCTCTAAATTACCACATCTGTGTGATTTTTCACTATGATGGTGTCGATTGTGCACCTGTACACGGTATTATAAAATTCCTAATAATATTGATATAATATTGCTAATCAAGTGTTGATTCAATCGGAGTTATTTCTGGAATCCACTCGATTGAAATTACACCCGAAAATGTTTCACTGTGTACAGGGTGCGCCTCCAAAAAGGACATCAACTTTGATTTTTTCAAAGAAACACTTTATATAGTTTACGACATGTCGGTAGAGCCTTTTTTTCTGATTTAAAAAATATATATGAGTTTTTTTTTTTAAGGCTTTATTCAAATAGTTCACAATCTGATTATTTTCAATTTCGTACATACATGTTTCGGACACTATTTGAAAAACAATTCCAAATCAGCATGTAATGCTGGTCTCGGAACTTCTTAAGTCTACACTTTTTCATTTCATTGTTACTGCCCAATCTGATTTTCGTATATAGTGATGTTGCATATTTCGATGAAAAATTTACCAAAATACCGCATTATGATCTTTAACTTATCATCTAATGTAAGTTGAATACAGTCGGCTTTGAAATAACCTCTATATATTGTTCAAGCTCCATGGAAATGTCATAGTATTGTTTATTATGAAATTGAAACCGTTCAATCTCAATACAAAAAAATATGAATTGGCAGTTTCAATGGAAGATTCAGTATTTTGGTAAACTTTGATAATCAATAACTCCATTATTCCTTATCCAAATATGCAACTCATATATATTTTTGAAATCAGAAAAAAATGCTCTATCGACGTGTCAGAAAACATATAGGGTGTTCCATTGAAAAAATCAAAGTTAATGTCTTTTTCGGAAAAACGAATGACCCTGTATAAGAATCAAATTCACGAAATAAAAGATTAGGTCGTTTCGAGAAACTTTTAGATACAAAATGTTTTCACATCTCTGAAAACAAAAGAGTTAAAGGGGGGGTTTCATTTTAAGAGGCGCACCCTGAGAGAATCCAAACTTTTTTACATTTCTTGTAATACAATTTGTTTATTTCAGACTGATCGAGTTTGGTGATACCCCCAGCAGCGCCCTAACTCTGGATGAATTCATGAACGTCGATTTGGAAGAGGAACAGGATCCTCCGTCTTTCAAGGCCGCCAGAAAAAAAGACAAAGAGAGATTGCAAAAAGTACTGTGACCTTGAATTATAAAAAAACTAGTGAAAATGTAACTTAGTGATTTGAATTGCACTCTTATATGCGTATTGATTTTTTTTTTCATTTCAGCTGATTGACGAAGAAGCTGATAATTTCACTGTGTTACAAGAGCAGATTGAGAAAGAACTGGAACAAAATATCAAGAAAAGGCAATCTGTCAAAGGCGGTATGTATCCTAGTAAACATTTCAGAAACCAGCTGCATTTCACTTAAAACGTCTCCTCTTTTGACTTAGATCGATGTATTAGCAGTTTTCGTTGATTTACGAAAAGTTTTCGATGTAGTGGATCACACTATTTTACTTAACAAATTAGAAAACATGAGAATAAGAGGAAGAGTCCACTCTCTAATAAAAACATATCTCCTTAACAGACAACAATTCACAATAGTAAATGGAACTTCTAGTCAAACTGATAATACCAAATCGGGAGTACCTCAGGGCTCAGTATTGGGACCCCTTTTGTATACGTTACATGTCTAATCATTGAAAACGGCTGAACTTCGAGGTAGATACTTCAAATTTGCTGATGACACTGTATTGGTATATAAAGACAAAGATATAACCCAGCTACAAATAACAGTCAATGAAGATTCAGAACAATATCATGCTTGGCTAATAAAAAATAGACTACAACTCAATATAAATAAAACAACATACATGATTTTTACACAAAAAAACAAAATTGCACAGAACATCACAATAAAGGTAGGAGGAGAAATAATTGTCGAAGTTCGGAAGGCGAAGTACCTCGGACTTGTACTAGATGAAAAGTTGAACTGGAGTGAACACATCAAACACCTAGAAAACAAAATATCACCCATGGTTGGTGCCATTTATCGATGTAGAGATTACATACGAACATCATGCTTCTATCTAATATACAATGCATATTTTCTGTTCGTATTCAGGTACTTAATCCCATTATGGGGAACATGCGGAAAAACAATGTTCAAAAAAATTGAAACACTACAAAATAAAGCTGTAAAGATTTTATTCAAATTCCATTATACTACGTCAACACATATAATATATAATCAAACTAACATCTTACCCATTTCTAATATATTACAAATCGAACAAAGCAGATTTATATACAATATCATCAAAGAAAATCTTAAATGTAACACACCTTTCAATTTCGTGAATCAGCAACACAACGACTATAATACACGTACAGGGTGATTCACCATAAATGTCCCCCCCTCTAGCTCACTTATTTTTCAACCGATTTAAGAATTCGAAAAATCATCCAGGATGATTTTTTAGAAATTTTTTTCCCATTGCTGGGAAATACAGGGTACTCGGAACAAACGATATTCAGAGTACTACTTGATTTTTTCAAATGGAACACCCTGTATTTCATTGTATTTTAGGATTCTTCCTGGAGAGCTGATTTCATCAATGTATCACACTTGGGGTCTAGCGGGAATGATTACAGAGATATAGGGTGTTCAAAATCGAGATTTTTCAACTTTAGTATTTTTTTGTGTCGAAACTATTCATTATTGGTCAAAACGGCTACGAAGTCCCTTTCTCAACTTTTGATTCACTATCTACTGACATTTAATTGGAACATATACAGTGTGGTTCAAGATTCAGAATTCTGATCACCTTGTATCTGTTCCAATTATTAAATGTCAGTAGATAGTAAATCGAAAGTTAAGATACGAACATGAAAGCCGTTCTGGCCGATAATGAATAGTTTCGTCAGAGAAAAATCTTAAAGTTGAAAAATTTCGATTTTGAACACCTTTATATCTCTGTAATCATTTTCGCTAGACCCCAAGTGTGATACATTGATGAAATCAGCTCTTTAGGGAGACTCTAAGAGTACAATGAAAAATAGGGTGTTCCATTTAAAAAAATCAAATAGTACCCTATAGATCGTTTGTTCCAAGCACCCTGTATTTTCTGATGCAACGGGAAATAAATTTCTGAAAAATCATTTTGGATGATTTTTCAAATTTTCAAATCGGTTGAAAAATAAGTGAGCTAGAGGGAGGGACATTTATGGTGAATCACCCTGTACGCAAACAAATATCTACTTAGAGCCAGTGAGAACAAACATAGGCCTCAAAAATCCCATAATACAGAGCATGGAAACTTATAACTTCTTACCAAAGGACATAGCAAACTGTGCCGACATAAACTTATTTAAATGGAAAATTAAAAATATATTCACAGAAAAAACTTGAAAACAAACATTTATAAAATCTAAGCCATACCCCATGCAATATGACCCAACTGCATTTAACTACCTAATTATATATAATCACATAAATATCTATAAAAACAAATAATAATAATAAAAAATTGAGAGAATGGAGAATTTTATTTATTTCTTACTTTGTATTTATATATGTAAACATGTAAATGTATTATGTAAGTTAGATACAGTTTCCGAGACCAGCACATTTGCTGCTTTGGATTATTCAGTATTCATTGTAATGCAACCTACGTATCTATAAATTCTAAACTGTATACAGTGTGTCCCACTTACCATGCTCACCATGGGTATCTTTTTAACGGTGAGAGATACGAGGTCGGTTAAATGACACCAAATGTGGAGTTTGTCTCAAGGCCAACTATAATGTGAAAAAATATTTTGATAAAATCTAT